TTGCTCGTAATGGTATTACGACTTATGCATACGGACACAGTTGTATTAAAAAAGACTTGTGAACTATACATATATTATGGAAAAAATCTATTACAGCCCACGGGGATACTGGAAAGGCGCGGCCGCCATCCCGAAACTCGCCAAAGCTGCTTGCGTCTCCGAAGAAAAAGCCAAAGCTTGGCTTAAAAAAACAAGCTCTCTGGCAAGTCTACCTGCCGGTACCCCAATACATCCCAAGAAGAAAATTCGACATTTCAACATCGAATCGCGTCCATCAAGCCGACCTCCTGTTTCTCCCACACGACAGGGTGAGGCGTAAAACCTACAAGTACGCCCTGACCGTCGTCGACATCACCAGTCGCTACAAGGCAGCCGAACTGTTAACAACCAAAGATTCGAAACGAAGTGGTCAAGGCCTTGCAACGCATCTACAAACGCAGTCCGCTGACATGGCCAGCCGAGCTGCAAGTCGATCCCGGACGCAAGTTAATGGGAACCGCGTCGCGGCTGCTGGCCAAACACCAAGTCCAGGTTCAATAAAGCGTGGCAGGGGCTCACCGCAGCCAAGCCATCGTGGAGAGGTTCAATCACACCATGGCCAAACGCCTGTTCCGTCGCCTCGGGGGTGGTTGCTCCTCCGAGCGCTGTGGGCAGACGAGTCGCAGTGCGTGTGGATGTGTCTCTCTCGGCTTGGTGTACGGGTGGCTGTCTGGCTGTCTGTCTACATTAAGCAGAAAAATAGGCATGCAAGACTGATAAAATATCATGACGAGAAACTATCACCACACGGTGGGTGATGTGTAAGGGACTGTGTCGTGAGGTAAAATCATCAACTCCTCTCGGACAAATGCTCTCGGCAGCCCGTCTTTCAAGTAGTACAAGTTCGGTTCGCCGTCTTTGATGTCGACCAGGTCGATGTTGTACGTTTTAATGGACCATATCGGATCGGTGGCGCGTTTTCTGCTGTCTCCCTCGTAGTCGCCCGGCTGGTATAAGTACCTAACGCTGATATGGTCCGGTAATGTTTTCTCTGTTTTATCGCGATGTGCCGCCGCCGGTGGTGAAGATTGGCTAGGGTGAGCTCCCGCTATACCTCGTCTCACCTGGACGTCGTGCTTGGCCAGCAGTTGCGACACAGCTCCCATGAACTCGCATCCTGGAACGACTTGCAACACAGCAGGCCAGGTCAAGCGACTGCGTTTGTATAGGCAGCTTCATTTGAATCTTTGGTCGTCAACGGTTCGGCTTCCTTGTAGCGACTGGCGACGTGAACGACAGTAAGGGCGTACTTGTAGGTTTTGAGCCTCACCCTGTCGTGAGGAAGAAACAGGAGGTCGGCTTGGTGAACGCGATTCAGCGTTGAAATGTCGAATTTTTTTCTCGGGATGTATCAAGGCGCCGGCAGGTAGACTTGCCAGATGGCTTGTTTTTTAAGCCAGGCTTTGGCTTTCTCTTCTGAGACTCGAGTGGCTTTGGCGAGTTTTGGGATGGCGTCTGCGCCTTTCCAGCACCCGCGTGGGCTGTAATAAAGATTCTGACCAAGTCTCATAAAAACGCCGTCATTTGCGAAGACGAGAAAAAATTTCATAGAACAAGGGAAGCAACAGGCCCGACAAGCCTTCATTACGAAAACCACACAAATCATAGAAGATTCACAATAAACTGTTTCGCGGGCATCAACATAACGTAGCCAGCCGGCCAGCCACCTCAGTGAGCTGTAGGTGAATAGCCGAGCCGAGACACACACACTGCGACTCGCCCACAGCGCAGACTCAATGCTACCGAGACGGCAGCGAGGTGACCCGGGCAAGCTGCCGAGAGCTGCGGTATGATTTTGCAGAAATTAACATAACGTAACCAGCCAGCCAGCCGGTCGGCTGTCCAACCGAGTCGAGACACACACACACACACACACACACTGTGACTCGCCCACAGCGTTCGCTCAGTACTACCAAGATGACAGCGAGGCGACCTGAGGGGACTGCCGAGAGCTGCGGTATGATTTAGTGGAAATCAACATAACGTAGCCTAGCCAGCCAGGCGGCTGTACAAGCAGAGTCGAGACATACACACTGCGACTGGCTCCCTGCGCTCGCTCAAAGCAACCTCCGAGACGTCAGCGAGGTGATGACTGCGTTTCATTCACCTTCAGACAGCTTACACATCGCTACAAGTACATCCTAACGAGATGGTAGCAAGGCAGCTCGGGGGAACTGCTGAAAACTAGTGTTTTCAGTGTAATAAAGGTATTGCGGCTGAAAACACCTCTCGACTCGATAATATATAACAAGTACAATACGTTGGATTGTTAGCCTTTCGCCAGACCAACCCCATGCTCACTAAAAAGTTATTATTTCCTAAACTATTTGACCGATTTTCGTGAAATTTCGCTTGCATCTCGGCAGATGGTTACACTATAGCAAAATGGCATTGGGAACACTCTCGATGACTTCATTAGATTAATTAAGACTTAATTATGACAAAAAGTTTTACGACATTTTACCTTTTCCCGACCGACCCCATGCTCACTTAAAAGTCAATATTTCAGAAACTATATTGACCAATTTTGATCAAATTTGGCATGCACCTCAGTAGTAGTATACACAATGGGGCTACATGATTAGGGACTTCCCAAGGACTCAATTTAAAAATTGAGTCTTTAGGGGGGACCTGGTCCCATAGTCCCATTGTGTATACTACTAACCTCTCCACAAAACAGAAATACGGAATGGGTCATACGCTTGCCGCGAGTGGTGGATGCCATCAACAACGAAGTCACCCGACTCCTGGGCAAGAGACCCGTTGAAGCCATCCGAATGAAATCGATCACGGCCGAATCGGCATCAGCAGCAGCACGTCAATCGGAAAAACCATGACCGGATCAGGTCAGCGTTAGGTACTTGTACCAGCCGGGAGAACACGAGGGAGACAGCAGACAATGGCTACCGATCCGATATGGTCCATGAAAACGTACCATCTCGACCTGGTCGACATCAAAGGAGGCAAACCGAACTTGTACTACTTAAAAGACGGGCCGCCGAGAGGGTTCGTCAGAGAGGAATTGCAAATTGTCCCACACGACAGGGTATTACCACCTTATTAAAGATTTGTCTATATATAGCTATCATCATCATGTGGACACTGATCGAAAAACGGTTGTTCAGGCACGTCGGGGTGGATGTCAATGCCTCGAGTAATAAGTCGAGGGAAATTCATCACCCTGTACAAAGTTTAGGTCTGATGGGCACCGAACGGTTACAACGTCTCATTGATACTTTAGTCGATTACAGCCTCGAAACCCGAGATCGCACCGCCCTTACTCAACTTACTCCATAGCCTACTTCGACAAGTTGATGGCAGACGCCATCCAAGTCATCGCTCAATATTACGGCTACATGTAAAAAATACCAAAAAACAAAACAAAAACACTTCCACCATGAAGACGCACGTGCGCACCAACATTTAACACCATTTGTTAATGCCTGCTGGAGAGGGAAACACATTTCAATTCAACCACCAGCCGAACTGCAGCAGGAACCCCATTGTAGTACACGTACTACTCCCAGTAAAATTTAACATTTGAATTGAGACACACCATAAATTATGCAAAACCAATGAACGGTGACATAGTAATGTGTCAAAACTGGTGAGATTTAAGATGCATCTAATTTTCAGTAAATTTGCACTACAATGCCCTATCATAGAAAAACAAATTTCAACAGACTTCAAAACTGCAAATTTCATTTATCTTCTTGATGTGTTTGGATATGGTTCTGACATCAAAGTGAAGGTTCAAGAGGAGGGACATATATCGTATGATTTATGAAGGAATTGAGTTGCAACTGTAGAATGCCGGCACATTCACCGGTGGCAAGCTAACATATACGGTTTAGTTTTGGTGAAAGAAGATACTGTTGGAAAGACGATCGACTCCGGTTGAATGTTATACAATTTGGTTACGTGGTAACACGTTTTGTACAATGTATACATTTTTTCAAACTGCAATGTCATCAAAGTGTGGAACTGACAACATAGCCAGCTGATGGCCAGGCAACAGGTAACCTGCGTATCAAGGCACAAGAACCACACCTACATCTGCACCAAGTGAAATTGGTCTAATAAGGTCAAGGCTAATCAGTCCGGCACCAATGACGTCATTTCCAAGGGACATAAGCCATGATGTGTTTATTGTGGACATAGAACTCTCGGTTATGTGGGAAGTATGAATTGATATAACACAAAAAATGAATTAGTTACTTCTGATATCTGTACAGTTTGGGCAATAAAATTACTTTTTATGATGAAAAAGTGCATGTCAATTTTATTGCACAGGAGAAGTAAATATCTGTGGAAATCCTACTGACTAGTGAAAACATGAAATGTTAATCTCCTTCTTTCATTTACATTTAAATAGTATCATGTATCACTTTCAAGGTTTTTTAAGCAAATCTTTTTGTGGAATGATTTTTCTGCAGCACTAGTCCTGTTGGGCCCTGAAAGAACACTGATTGCCAAGGGTACTGAAGGCAGGCAAATTAAAAACCCAGAAACTTGGCACTGAATTTTCTTGAATCAAATGTCAATGAAGTTGATACTTTTATCAACATTTGACAAGAATATATAACTTGGGAATACACAACTTGTAGGCCATATTCTGGTTTCAAAGAAAGCCTTGAGAATCCCGGAAGTGTGACATTAGTTCAACCCGCCTTATCACACACAGATCACATGTAATCTGAAGTCAATCCTCCAAACACATTGCGCTATATAATAAAGGAATATTAGTTAGAGTAACTGTCTTGCTTTATGAAAAAAGCCATTCATTTAAACTGAGAGAAGTTTTAGTCATTAGTACTAATGCACTTACTATAATGACAAACTTTCGCTATCTTGTCAAAGCTCACAGAGGTGCATGTGTTTGATGCTATGGACTATGGATATGAATAGTGTCATAGAGGGTGCCAAATACTGCTGTTAGAAACGAGTAGAAAGAAACTAACCCTCTCATCCACTTGAAAGGTACAGTCTGCTCGTGCCTGTTGCTCATGTATCTGAGCATCTATTTCTTCCAGATGAGGAGGACATTGTTCAAATGCCTGAAACCAAACAAATGTTCAGGAAAATAAAGTGATTTCATGTTGTGACTTGTGAGAATCAGGACAATGAAAGTGTGTGTGTGTGTGTGTGTGTGTTTTGTTTGGGAAACCAGAAAATGTAAAATAACAAAAAAATCCCCAAATAATAAAAGGCTCCAGTTAATGGTTTACTGGTAATGATAAAAGTTGTTATCAAGTGACATTGGACAGTTTTGTGACTTAAGCTCTGGAACACAGCATTATTGACAAACTGCGTTCACTTCAGCACAACATGCTTAATTCACACAATGCTGACGTGGCATATTCAGTTCAAACTATATTTTTGCCGACACAACATGGCTAATCCCTTTCATTAAACTCCCGACCTGGGAACTGAACAAACAAAAACAAGCTACAATTAGGTAATCCCCTTTGTTGACAGTTCTCTGCTTTCCCCAGCTGGAACATGAACAATGAAAACAATCTCTACACATGTAACTGTAGTAATCCCCTTTGTTCTCTGCTTTCCCCAGCTTGAACATGAACAATGAAAACAATCTCAACACATGTAACTGTAGTAATCCCCTTTGTTCTCTGCTTTCCCCAGCTGGAACATGAACAATGAAAACAATCTCAACACATGTAACTGTAGTAATCCCCTTTGTTCTCTGCTTTCCCCAGCTGGAACATGAACAATGAAAACAATCTCTACACATGTAACTGTAGTAATCCCCTTTGTTCTCTGCTTTCCCCAGCTGGAACATGAACAATGAAAACAATCTCTACACATGTAACTTTAGAAAGGGCTAACAGGTATTTTTAGGAACTATAAATATATTTGAGAATCAATTCATGGAAGATATGTATATAGGCAAAAGGTCTTGTGCTGTTTTTGGCAAGAAAAAATATCTAGACTCATATTTTATATATTTACTGCATATACACCTGCAGAAATCACTTGGTAGTGAGGGAGTGAGTGCGTGCGCGCAATGATTCAGAATGGTCTTAATTAATCGAGTCTGGACCAGACAATCCAGTGATCAACAGCATGAGCATCGATCTACGCAATTGGGAACCGATGACATGTGTCAACTAAGTCAACGAGCCTGACCACCCGATCCCATTAGTTGCCTTGTACGACAAGCATGGGTTACTGAAGATCAATATTCTAACCCGGACCTTCAGGGGTTGTATCATGGGACCCTCTATTATCGCGGTAGTTAATGTTGTCGCCATCGGGATTATGAACGGCTACTGACATTTAGCATTTTATATATATTTTCAGTTGACTGATATTTAATCCTTATTTCTGTCACAAATAATGTGACACATGGTCGCAACTTGTTTAATACCATTGCGGCAATTCCGATTGTCTCGTTTGACCCGGAAATTGAAGCAACTCTCTATTATCGCGGTATTGCTATTTTCTTACTATGGCACGCGGTACAAGCAGATGACACTGTGAAACGTTTACTAAGACAAGTAACGAATCTAAATAGTTTGATCATTAAGTTTTTGTTGGAATTTCATTCACATTAGTAATATTATCATGCTTTTAACCAAAACATCTGAAACTTCTATTGATTTGGATACAAGGTAACAATAACGTTACAAAATATTGTTTTTCCGGCTTAAAACGTACCATACAAGTTGCTGCCGTGTGCAGAGTGAAGTTCCATAATACGTCACTTCCTGTTATATTTTTAGCACGGAAAATATGCAAATGACCTTATAGTTGTCGCAGGATTGCTCTTGATGAAGTAAGTTTTGATTCATGCTAGATGTAATGGCAGTAGGGGTCATACTAGTTTCAAAATGTTCTAGAACTTACTGAAAAGATGAATGCTTTAATATTTCTCCGATTACACATAACATTCCAATGAAATAAATGACTTTTTCAAGAGCGATGAATATATGTTACGTAATTTGCATATGTAAACAGCCGATGCAGGGCGTGGTGTTTCTGCTTTCCCGATGTTTTCGCGTGCGATAATAGAGAGACCGCGATAATAGAGAGTCCCAGTATAAATACATGGAAATTGGTGTTCAAAATGTGTATCATTGGTTTGTAGTGTTGTCCTTTGAAATTGCATATTCAACAATTTAAGCTACCTTCTTTAAATCAGGTGACAACTCTTCATTTGGTCCAGTGCCTGTAGCAACTTTGGCTCTGTCTAACAATGTCTTCGCTATTGCCCGAGTTCGTTTCAAGCCTTCCTTCAACTCCTGTAGATGTCTCTAATCAACATGAAGATAAAACTTCAATACAGAATAAAAAATAGACATACATTCAATCCAATCTATGAATGAAAGCGAGATGGCTTCAAAGTTTTATGTCCATAGATAGACAAAATGGAAAGCCTGATTATGGTCAGTTGACCTTTTATCTTGTTAGACACAAAATTAAAATTTTACTCAATGAATTTGATTACATTCATCAATATAAATGTTATACATGAGCTTACATGAAAATGATTTTATTTAGTTCACAATTTGAATTTTAACAAAGTTTCATTTTTTTTATGGCATGTTAACACGGTATTCAATGTAATAAAGTAAAAGAAGCCTTTTTCTCAATATGAGCCCTCACAGTAGTTATAAACATAAATGTATGTATTTGGTAATAACTATTCAAACATAAAATGGGAATTATGGGGACAATAATGGCTTCTGAGCAGGACTACATAAATCCATGCAATGTCATGTTTGACAAATGCTGAATCTCGGATTAACATGTCACATACGGCTTTTCTTCAGTACATTAAATAGACGTAAATTAACAATGAATGCTCAGCTGACCTTGACCTTCAGATGTCAAAGGCTCAAATACAAAGTTGAAAAATCAAAGAAATCCTTAAACATCCTCATTTCTATGGGGCAATTTTTTCACATGTTTGAAACCTTCAATGTTGAAGCACTGCAAACTTCAAGTTGTACTGACCTCAATTCCCTGTAATGACTGGCTTTGGTCTCTCAGCTCTGCTTCAAAACTTGTATACTCATAAATTGCTCCAGAATGCTTCAGACTCAGTCGAACTTTTTCTTGACTTAGTTCAAAGCATTTCTGTTGATGAGGAAAAAAAACATGACTTTATAAACATTTATGTAATATTGATGACAAGGGAAAAGAAATTGGAAAGTTTGGTGACCAAATTGCATGTATATGTGTTTTATGACAAGATAAGATATAGTGGATGCTAAATGACCTTCCGTGTAATACTATTTTAATCAAATGAGTTAATGATTTGTTATCAAACAAGCAAAAGCGAGTTTGCTACTAAATCTTTCCCGAGTTTTATAACAATGGTATTTCACAGAAGCGAGTTTAAAGTACTGTCGAAAATGCTAGAAAAATGCTTTTTGTCTTTTATGTAAAAATCAGAGATATTACAGTTACTTAAATAACAAATATCACTTTAAGAAACATCTACCTAATGTAGACCGAGGGAATAAATTTTGAGACATGCCCTAAAATGTGTTTTTACATATGAAAATATTAAAAAAACTTAGAAAAATAAGGGGCAGTGGGTCGTTATTTCATACAAACATTGCCTGTGTTATGTCATCAGCATGCACGGTATCGACAGGTGAAATTGACACCTGAGCACAAGCTCGGGTGAGGGGTCATCTCAATACATTTTTTCTTCATACTGTTGAATATGTATACGTATAGTATACGTATTGGTTATGTAAGGGATCGTGTGATATCCACATTTCACACCAACAACACACACACACACACACATATATATATGTGTGTGTGTGTGTGTGTGTGTGTGTGTTTGTTTTGAAATAAACATACAAAGTATTATGTATGAAAAAGAATCACATCACTTGTGTTATTTTATTGATTGATTGTAGAAATGTGCAACGTTTTAATATATGTTTTGCATGTCAACAGTATATTTCTTTGCAAAAATATGGATGTCATTCGGTCATTTTAATCCAGCTGTGAACATTGGCCAAAGATTTAACGCACTCACTGGTATAGCTTCTTTAGAGCAGATATATTGTCAGTGATGAGATCTGGCTATGTCGAAGTAGAAACGGATGAGCAATGATAACTTGTTATCTTGTTGTTTGTTTGCTGAAGAGTCACTGTATGGAAATAATCAATTAATCAAAGTAAATTTATGATGGCCCGATGTGTATAAAACCAACTGTGTGAATGAGACTTAAACTCGATGCAAGTACAAATTTTATTCAGCTAAAACAGACATTGGAATGAAGACCAGTAGAACACAGTAGAATCCAAATCTGACGAGTCTGAATCCGTGTCCTCATGCACTGGGATCACAACAGGTGTGACAACACTGATGTCCACTCTGTCATGTTGACAGTATTTGCGTCCAATGTCAAGGAAGTGGTCCTCTGCCTTCTGCCACACTTCAGGGGTTATCCTGCCAAACGATGCATGGATCAACTCCTTCACTTGCGAGAGCTTGATGGTAGTGTTGTTCCTCGCAGCGAACCCTTTACAGTTTGCCCAGATAAGTTCGATTGGGTTCCTGTTCATGCGGATCTTCTCCATCGTCTTCTTCAGGCTACTCATTGTCGGTGGGATGCTACATGGTTCCCGCACATTACGGTAGCTGGCATTGTCTATCACTATGACAGTGGGCTGATAACGACTGGCCAAAAGCTGATGTTCCATCCAATCCATGAAGACATCTCCGTTCATCTCCTGATGGTAATCTCCACTTGATTTCTTTGCCTCAAAGACCAACTCGCAACCGTCGATCAAACCTGTGTCCCCACTTCCTGCATGAAGTACAATCATTCGGTTGCCCTTCCCAGATGGTACCATGGGGGGCTCTGTGTCGGTCTGTGGGTAACCACATATAGACCGTAGAATGGTTCTTGTTTACCCAAGTTTCATCCAGGTAAACTATCTGGAAGCCAAGGGTACGGTACTCTGCGACAGTTCTCCAGTAAGAGGATCTCATGGACACAATAGAGTGCTTCTCCCTGAAGACAGCTCTGTCATCACCACGGGCTTTGTACTTGAACCCCATCTCATGGAGGGCAATGATGATGGTGGTTCTGGAGATGTTGATACTGTCCTTAATTTCCTCTCTGATACTCCTACATGTAGGTGGAATAAAGTTCTCATAAAGTTTGTAGACCACCCGTCTAATCACTCCCTTGTCAAAGTTGTCAAGGATGGTTTTACATCCCGGTTTTGCTTTTGAGACGGTCCCTGTCTTGTCTGATTTGTTTACAATACCATCAGCTCTACAAATTCTGTAATAAACCCTTTCTAAACTAATGAAAGGTTTAACTCTGTCTTTCTCAAGCACAAAAAACTTACAAACCTTTGCAACAATCGACTGCAAATCGTTGGCCACAGTGAATGCTGTGATAAAGATGTGCATGCATGATGGGAAACTAATTTATTAAGCCTTAACATTTATATTAATTTTTCCTCAATGAAAAAACCATAATTAAGTCAAGTAACACAAACATTCAACATTTTATTTGTTTATATTTATATTTTTGCACCACCTGTATTATTAGCATAAATTTAAAGACTATTTCAGATTTCTCATGTTAAACTGAAAAATTCTAGAGTTGTTGCTTTGGTACCAAATTCTCTCCTGTTAACTGCCCTTTAAATGCATGGGAATGTTAAATCAATTGAAATAAAAATTAGGTACACCATAGGCGAGTTGATATATTGACAACATAGTACATTTATCACATTTATCAAAGTAGTAAGGCTAAAAAGCATTTTTCTAGCATTTCCGACAGTACTTTAGTATTCTGTTTATTACTCTACACATAAATTGATAGAAACTGCCTTCAGTGTGATGACTCAACTTTCTGGGAGTCAAGCAAGGTCTAATACCATTGTGACAGATGTATTAGCATATTGTGATGTCATAACTGTAGGGTGGTGGGGTAGCCAAGTGGTTAAAGCGTTTGCTTGTCACGTCGAAGATCCGGGTTCGATTTCCCACATGGGTACAATGTGTGAAGCCCCTTTCTGGTGTCCCCTGCCGTGATATTGCTGGAATATTGCTAAAAGCAGTGTAAAACCAAACTCTCTCACTCGCTCATAACTGTAAACCATTATGTCATACGTCCGGCATAAAAAATGTAGATTTATTAAACATTGACATCTTCAACGGTAATACTTTATTACCCGTTAATGAATTTTGTGTACAACAGAGGTAAATGACATGAAAAAACAGAAAGCACAATACAAACAGACATACAAAGCAATAGCACGGGTGGAATCCTTAAAGTTAAACATAATAAGTTCTGACTGTAACTATGAGCCTAACACAAAAGATAACAGACTATTTAAGATTGGTTTAAAAGAGATATACTAACAGGAACAAAAGATTATTTTTCTCTATAATGCAAGTCAACTGAAATGCTATGCCAGTTTAACATGGATGCCCCATTCAGACACATTAAATTGACTTTGCCTCAACCATCAACTTATAATCCGCAGCAAAGGCAATAGATTTAACGCCAATTGCATGCAACTCGGATACTCTTGACGCCGTGGCGAATGGCAAGGAAGAAAGCTGTCTTGAAACTCAAATATTTCAGAGACGTATCTTGCATAGGTTCAAAGGGGTATCTCTGTAGAGCTTGTAATACTAAGCATAGGTCCCACTTGGGAAACACTGTTGGAGAAGTATCGTCCTTAATCTGAAACGATCTAATAAGCTTATGCAAGGAACGATTTGATTCCACTGACGAACCCAGTAAATCCAAAACCGAAGCAATCACTGATCTGTAGCCCTCAATAGTGTTATGCTTCAATTTCTTAACCGTCTTTAGATAGAGGAGAAAGTCTGCTATAATAGGAATGGTGACTGGAGAACTGAGGAGTTGTCGCTCTCTTCTCCACTGGATGAAGACATTATTCCACTTGGCGTCATAAAGGGCTGCTGTTGAAGGTCTGATAGATTTGGAGATAGCCACAGTAGTTTGTTCGTTAAATCCCTGTTCCTTGAGGGAACTTCAGATAGCCTCCATACGAGAAGCGATAGGAGATTTACATTCTCATGGAATTTGTTCAACTGGGGCTCATTGAGAAGATTTATCCAAAGCGGAAGTCGAAGGGGCTTGTCTGTCAACAGATGTAGGAGATCCGTGAACCACGCCCTGGTTGGCCATGCTTGAGCTACCAGATAAACTACACAGTTGGCTAGTACTTCCGGAGGGGCACCTTATCAGTTCCAGTCTGATTAGCACAGACAGTGATTTCCGTAAAATCACTAATCTGCCTTTTGAACTCATCCGTCAATGGCGGAAAGGTGTGAGCCGAGCTGGTTTGTTAATTGGATCAGTTTGCTACACCAAACAACTTCTCATTGACTGACTTCGGCTTATGTATACAAGATTGCTGTTGTTTGAATCTCATGGGACCAAATTTCCTTCTTGAGTCATCGTGTGTATTTATGAGACGAATGCGTGTAACCGGTATTCAAATGATGACAACTATAACAGGGAATGGTCGGGACCGACAGGTACTTCGAGTTATGCATAATATTCGAGACACCGGCATTCGACTCATCGGGATTTGACTGTAACTTGAAAGGAGGAAACTCATAAGCTATGAGATTCTCTCATGATATTGATAGCGTCCGAATAAATCGTGACCTCTGGAGGAGGCTGACGAAAGTGAACTCCCGGAAGGACGTTGCTGTCAACTGTCCACCATAATAGTTCCTGGCGTACTATGCTGGAAGGAGAGATTGTTTCTTCCAGGTCCAGATTGCGAAACTGGTTTAGCCAAATCTGTGGTTCCGGCAAATGTATCCTGCCCCTCATCGTAAAATCCTGGATGGATGTGAGAGATCCCATCAGAGACATCCATGAACGAACCGACACAGCCTTGTCTGCCAGGAGATCATAGACTTTGGTCCGAATCTTGTACCACCAATCTTGAGGAGTATAGATTCGACCCGCCTTGGCATCTAGAATGGCTCCCAGATACTTGATCCTTGACGTGGGTTCCAATTCTGATTTGACAGGATGTACTATGAGACCGAGATGGGTAAATACATGGAGAATAAACTTGGTTTGTTTCACTAGGATCTGAGT